GGGAAAATGTTGTGGCTTATGGCCGCCTGCCTTCCCCCGCTCATCAAACAGCTTCATCACTTGGAACTGATTTGTTCATAAGTTCTCTTGATTCCTTAAAATACGAAATGTCCTCGGCAATAACCTGTACATTAATAAGCTGGGAAGGCGACAATTCTGGACTATACTTATACGGTATAATATATGCACTAGCCGAGGTACATGTATCGTGAGAAGTATAAATCTTCCTTATTATAGATTCAAGTCTTGTTTTATTTTTATAAAAACCTCTGCAATAACAAGATCTTTGTACACACCCATGTTAGCAAACTTTAAATACACTTCTTTTATTTTATGCTACATAAATCTGTCTTCGACATTCTTCTACATTCTTCGACATTCTTTGACATTCTTCGACATTCTTCTACATTCTTCTACATTCTTTGACATTCTTTGACATTATTTGACATTCTTTGACATTCTTCGACATTCTTCGACATTCTTCGACATTCGTCCACATTCTTCCACATTTTTCAACATTCTTCAACATTCTACGACATTCTTCGACATTCTTCGATATTCTGCGACATATATTCCAAACCAAATTTAAAGATAAAATCTATTTAAAAAATCCAAAACAACATTTATGTATAGAAACTATTCTTAAAAAGACTTCTGTGGATCATGTAATTGTAACTAACCCAGGCTATTTGGCATTACATACAAAACTACATTTATTCAATTTTTCTCAGATGATGTATCCAAAAGCAAATAGTTTTTTTTTCAGAAGATGATTAAAGAATGATAAGAGATAAAAACTTTAATAATTTGAAAATATGATCAAGGTAATATAAACATAAATACAAAATAATGTGTTCTTCTTACAATTACTATTTATTAACATTTACAATACAATTCATATTTTGCTTTAGAAGACAAAATTAGGAAAGATTAACTATTAATAGTTAACAATTCAAAGTTCTTTATTTTAGATAAGTTCTATATTACGAACAGTTCAAGAAATTTTAAATGTGGGAGGGGGGAGGGGGGGGTGTTAGACAAGAATACTAGATAAAATGTAACCTACTCTAGAACTGAATAAATTGTTACCTACTCTAAACAACTATGCTGGAACAGGCTAGGGTGCCGAATGCTGCGGCTAGGACATACTTGGTAAGTTATGCTTGGGAAATTACACAGTTGGGAAGTATCCATTTGGGAAAATACCCTGGGGAAGTTGCCCTTTGGTTAACATCGATATTAATTTTCCCTAAATATAAAACATCTTGAAAACAAATTGTTCAACAATTACTGGAAATAATAAATAGTCTTATTTTTAAAGAGACAAAGGTTTAAAGGGTACCGTTGTCAATCGAGGATGTTACTGTTTTAATGAATTTCTCTAAAAATTACGCGTACAGTCCCTTTAATGAACCTTTAACTTCGCGGTGAAAGGTATTAAATCTCCTTTCTCCAGATTTTTAGCATTGCAACCAGTATCCAACATGTTCTCACGTTCTCATTACTATTTTATAAAGATTTATCCCATTCTAGATCCTGCAGTCTACAACTACAGATCTAACTTTAGAGATTTTATTTTTCTCCTGACACTGAGAAACATTTCTAAAATGTTGGTTACTAAAGTTAGAAAGTTTATACAATGGAGGTATTCGTATTCAGTTTTATACAATGGAGGTATTCGTATTCAGTTCTATACAATGGAGGTATTCGTATTCAGTTTTGTACACTGGAGGTGTTCATATTCCGTTTTGTACAATGGAGGTATTCGTATTCCGTTTTGTAAAATAGAGGTATTCGTATTCAGTTTCATACAATGGAGGTGTTAGTATTCCGTTTTGTACAATGGAGGTATTCGTATTCAGTTTTGTACAATGGAGGTATTCGTATTCAGTTTTATACAGTGGAGGTATTCGTATTCCGTTTTGTACAATGGAGGCATTCGTGTTGAGTTTTATACAATGGAGGTATTCGTATTCAGTTTTGTACAATGGAGGTATTCGTATTCAGTTCTGTACAATGGAGGTATTAGTGTTCAGTTTTATACAATGGAGGTATTCGTATTCGGAGATATTCGTATTTAGTTTTATACAATGTAGGTATTCGTATTTAGTTTTATACAATTGAGGTATTCGTATTCAGTTTTATACAATAGAGGTATTCGTATTCAGTTTTGTACAATGGAAGTATTCGTATTCAGTTTTATACAATGGAGGTATTTGTATTCCGTTTTATACAATGGAGGTATTCGTATTTAATTTTATATAATAGAGGTATTCGTATTTAGTTTTATACAATAGAGGTATTCGTATTCAGTTTTGTACAATGGAGGTATTCGTATTTAGTTTTGTACAATGGAGGTATTCGTATTCAGTTTTGCACAATGGAGGTATTCGTATTCAGTTTGAAAAAATACGCCAAAAAAACGAGCAATTTTAAAAATCTATATAAAGAGAATGTCGTGGTAAAAAACCACATGAAGAGTGCCATGTCCGATTCACAACGGTACCCTTAAAATCTGACTCTGAACGAAAATGTGAAAGTGAACGTAATTTTCTGACTTGACAATTCCTCCATTGTTTCTTAAGCAAAAATTGCGCAAGTCACTTTGAAACATAAAAACATGCATGCTCGATCAGACACAGCTTTTAATGTTAATTGTTTTGAATAAACTAATATTTGTGTTAAGAAAGTACTTGAGCTGCAGGTATTAAAATGAATGGTATAAGCTGCGAATACTTAATCAAATCCAGAGATTGGTTTTGAATGTAGATGTATCACCTCTGACACAAAATGGTGCATTAATAAAAGGAGAATAAACTGCAACTTGGACTCTCCATACTCCCTACTCCCATGCAAATATGCTACTCCCCACTATCACACATATACATAATACCACTTCCTACTCCCACACATATATACTACACCCTACTCACTACTCCACCCATATATATACAAAACTACCTACTTTCCACTCCCACACATATATACTACTCCCTACTCCATTTCCCCCACATAATATTACACTCTAATTCCTATTCCCACGCATAATTCGTTTGATAATACATAAATTGTATCCCGTGCTTAACAGTCGTCTTCTTATTCCACATTTTGAGGCCCCAACATGCATATGTCTATTGTATTAGTTGTTTTATCCACTAAATATATCTTTATGGTAGAAACATAGTTTATAAAATATTCTTCTTTCGAATTCCAAGACTTTTATTTTCTGAAAAGAATTCTTCTCCTGTGTCTGACTTTCTGTAAAACAATTTATTTTGAATTTCCTTTCATTTTAGTTCAATGAAACTTAAGAACTTTCACATTTTTGTTTCTTTTGTACCTTCTTACCAATATAAAATATGACCCATATAGAGCAGCCTACAACACGAAGCCTTAGTTGTTTTCTAAAAAATGTCAATCATACAAAGATTAAAAGGGCGTCATATTTACAGGCTTTGAAGATAGATTTGTTTTTAAATTTTCAGGAGTCCATCAGATTTATGGGTAAAATATTGTGAGCTAAATGAAGTGGTTTTTTTTACTTAAAGGGAGTGTTCGCGAAAAATGAAAGGGGGTATAGGCTAAATGCGATAAAAAAGCGCTTTTGATCGCCACTAATCTTACTTCTATCTGTTGCGTCTATAAGGAGAAAATTGTTAAAGACTTCTCATACCGAATAACATGGCGTCCATACAAATTGAGAAAATTTCAACATACGACTTAGACCGTAAAAAAATCAATTTAATTTCAAACAAATCATTCAGATATTACAACCTATAGTCATCGATTATCTTTCGCCACATTTATATATAGTTGATTTTTCATAATATGTTTTTAATTGTTATGATCTGAGAGTTACTTATAAAAACGTTTATTCCTGTTTCGAGGATTTTTGGTAATGAAGACGACATTTTCATATTTTCCAGGAATGTTCGAAAACAAGTTGTAAGCTAAATATTATTTTAAAAAACAAAATCAAAACTAGCATAAAATATTAAATATATACAAATGTGGCGAAAGATAATCGATGACTATAGGTTGTAATATCTGTATGATTTGTTTGATATTAATTTGATTTTGTTACGGTCTAAGTCGTATGTTCAAACTTCCTCAATTTGTATGGGCGCTACGCTCTTCGGTATGAGACGTCTTTATCAATTTTCTCCTTATAGACGCAACAGATAGAAGTAAGATTAGTAGCGATCAAAAGCGCTTTTTTATCGCATTAAACCTATACCCCCTTTTATTTTTCGCGAACACTCCCTTTAACTTTAGAAAAGTTGACTCTCTCTAGCTCTATACTTTCCTAATTCCTTGTAACATGGCTAGAAATAACAATGCACAGTTGAGGATACATTATATTATTATATATTTACATATATATATATATATTGTTATGTGCCTTTACTTGCTTTATTTTGGGGTAATTTTTTCCCAATATATTCTGCCACACTCAAAATTTGGCACAGTATAAGAACATTTGACCCCGACAAACTATATATGCAAAAAACGTGCCAGAAAAGATCCAAAACGAATAAAAAACGAAGCAAAAATGAAGGTGATGTAACGATCGTTTTCGTTCTGGGAAAAAATAATGTAATACAGTTTAGAATTTACGATCCAATACGATTAACACCACTATTTATATATTATATAATATTATAGCAAGGTTATAAAATGCAAGGAAAGTTATTTTAGAGGTGTACGCATCTTTTGTACTGCAGTGTACTATCTCTGGGCGGTAATTTAAACACAAGTCGGAGGTCAAAACCTGATATGGGATCCATCTTTCACATAAAAAAATCAATGAAATAATCTGGTGATAGGAAGCTATTAGGTGAATTATCAAAATTATCAAAATTTAATGCTTTTAACCTCCTTGGACACGCACCTATCTATTCTTGTTTACAAATTCCGCCCGGAGAGAACTGTATTCGATATATACGCAGAGTATACTCAACTGCAATTAACTTTCCTTGCATTATAACCTTGATATATAGGATGGTATGATGAATTGAAGGCTCCTGGTGAGATGAAACTACTATAGAGTGAACATGTCTCACAGGAGAACTGTACAGTTTACTAAACGTACTGTACAGTCAATCAAAAATGACAGAGGAAAAGTTTTACTCCAATCAAGTACAATAGATGGCAACAGATAAATCAACCAGTTTTATGCACTATGTCACAAGAGTCAAATGTAAAAAGAAAAACGACATATTGTCAAACTATAAAGTTGATATGATTTCCAAGATTCAGCTTAGATGAATATCGTCTTTGTAGGAACACGTAAACACTTTTAGCTATCCCAAGAACTATAAAAATAGAAAGACAACTTAAATAACATAGAGTATATTTAATGTCATTTGGTGGTTGTATTCCTGTTTTGACAATCTTTTTACTCCAACCAATGTAGGGGGGGTGGGGGGGGGGTGTAGAGGAATTTCAATAAAAACGAAAGGTCTAGCTGTAAAAATGTTGTAAATGTTTGGTAAATAAAATCAAACCTGTTCTATAAATCTCTTCTCTCTCTTTAAATTAAATGAAATTCTTGTATAATTCAATTCTAGAAAACCTGAGAGAAAACAACTCTATACAAAAACTACAATACTTGAATATGCACTAACCAGAGTCCGAAATTAATGATTTTGAGCCGAGTGTCAAATCCGCCAAAAACCGGTTTCAATTAAGCACCGAAATTTCGAAACATTAAATACAATTTAAAGTGGAACCAACCATATTTGAACCGCAACTAAAATTAATGAGAAACATTTTGGTCTAAGTTTCAAAAGTTGACATATTGAATATTGAGATCAAGATTCATGATTAAGCGAGGATACTCCTTGAAAAAATTCCAATCTGTCTGGTTATCTTTACTAGAATAAAAACAATTAAACTTTTGCAAGAGTTCATGATTTCAGAACTTAAATAATATCCGCATTGGAGCCTGCAGCAGTTTATGGTGACAGTTTTTATTCTTTTCAACTCAAAATCTCAAAACTTGCCAAAAATGTTAAAATAAATTCAACTAAATTGTAGACTTTATTGGCGGAGTATCAACTTTTAATATAATTTTTTAACGTCCATATAAACAAACCTAATATGTATTGTATATTTAGAAATTTAATATTAAAGGTAATTGAAATCGTAATTTCAAGTAACCTTCCATTTATAGAGTGGCATGTCCGATTTACAACAATACTCTTTTAACCTTTGTTTGATCAATGATTTTCTTATATTTATATAGCATGAAGTTAAGTGCCAAGAAACCGCGCCAGTGTACACTAGCACGAAGTGTTCAGAGTACACTGTAACCTCAAGTCTCACGGCAATCCAAGGTTATATATAATGCAAGAAAAGTTACTTCAGAGGTGTACGCACCTTTTGTACTGCAGTGTGCTGTCTCTGGGCGGTAATGTATACACAAGACGGATTTCACAGCCTGACATGGGATTCATCTTCCACATAAAAAGCAATGAAATCTTCTGGTCTTAGGAAACTATTATGTGTATTATGTGAATTATCAAAATTTAATGCTTTTATCCTCCTCGGATACGAAAAAACACTGATGCATAAATTCTTGTTTACAAACACCGCCCAGAGAGAACTGGTTTCAATATGTACACAAAGTATACGCAACCGCAATTCCTTGCATTATAACCTCGAGGTACTCAATCTTTAGCTATACAAATGAGGGTGTATACCTCATCAATGTCCGGACAAATGTTTAAAGGGTACCATTGTGAATCGGACATGCCTCTTTATAAATGGAAGGTCACTTGAAATTACGATTACGATCCCTAACACGATTTGGTCATACTTCTATTAACAATTTAAACAACTGAACTTGAATGTACTGCTGCATACAATCCTGTGTTTACAATCCATATTAAGTGTCTATCTAATTATCAATACTAATTTTCAATTATCTACACTTTACCACCCAAAAGAAATACGATAACACTCAGTACTAGTGTACAGTGTTATATACGTAAACATATCGTGATGTATACAACCGACCACTCTATTAATTAATTAATAGGGAGGTCGGTTGTATACATCTGAAGTGAGCCATACCTCTTCTTTTTATTACTCTATGGTCCCTAAGCACAAATTATTTTCTGTTTAACCTTTTCCGCAAGCATTGTAGATTTTTTAAGATCTAGATATTTATTTATGTATCGACGTTATATAAAGTTTACAAAATTGGTTGTACGGATTTAACAAAAAACTATTTTACGATAATTATCGTGTGCATTCATTTGTAAATAAATTAAGGCGAAGTCTATTATTTTCGAGATACATAATTTCGTTTTTTTTTGCCAAAACTGATGGTAAATTTATATTCAAGTATTGACAAGGCAGTAGTTCAGAAGAAAAAACTACATTATTTATAGTAAGATATCGTGCTTGTATGAATATAAACATAACTTTGTGAAATATTCATTTGAAAAAAAAGTACGCAGATTTTTAATTACAATTTGATAAGGTCAAAAAATTTTGAGCGATTGGACAGGGAGATGCTACAAACACAGTGTGTGTTATCTCATATAAGAAAATGCTAAAATTAATTGTGTGCATGCTTTCACATACACATGCACGGGAGCTAGCATTGTAGATTTAAAATGCCCATAAAGTCCTATGAATAAAATTAGTATTAAACTTGTAAAACTTGATGGTACAGGAAAACTAGGAGTCTACGCAGTCTTTACATTCTTCCTGGTCTTTGGACTTATTATTCTCACCGAGATCTTCCTAGTGGATGTTAATAAATCAGGTAGAAAATCAGGCTTATATTTTTAGATTAAAAAACTTGTTATTTTTTATTTTCGTATTTTTAAAAATTACAATTTTCAAGTGACTAGCATTTAATAGATACAAGTTTTTAAAGCAGTTAGTCATTATTCTTTTCTGTCCACTTGTCCACTTATTTACTTTACTAGGCTTACATGACATTTTGCGCCCGTCTTCTTTAATTTAATTGTGAACATTTTCTCTCATCATACATGGTAAAACAAAAACAAGCGGATTATATAAAAAAATTTGTGGATTTTCAAAATTTAATGACAATCAAAATTTGTTGGGACGAGTTTTTGTATATTTATTCATTCATAAACCTTCCCTGGGGTCATGTGAGGTCCCACACAAAATCTGTGCCCGATCAGTTCAGCCGTTTTGACGTTTATTGGAAAAAAGAACACCCAAGCAAGCAAAGTATATTAATAGATTTTACCATGTTGCATTATCTGCATACAAAGAAACCCCTTCTTTAAATACAATACTCCTCTTTAAAGGGAGTGTTCGCGAAAAATGAAAGGGGGTATAGGCTTAATGCGATAAAAAAGCGCTTTTGATCCCTACTAATCTTACTTCTATCTGTTGCGTCTATTAGGAGAAAATTGTTAAATTAGTAGGAGTTCTAATCCTTCTGGATACCTCTGAACATAAGTAGGAGTTCTAATCCTTCTGGATACCTCTGTACATTAAAAGGAGTTATAATCCTTCTGGATAACTCTGAACATAAGTAGGAGTTATAATCCTTCTGGATACCTCTGTACAATAAAAGGAGTTATAATCCTTCTGGATAACTCTGAACATAAGTAGGAGTTATAATCCTTCTGGATACCTCTGTACATTAGTAGGAGTTCTAATCCTTCTTGATACCTCTCATAAGTAGGAGTTATAATCCTTCTCGATACCTCTGTACTGTACATTAGAAGAAGTTCTAATCCTTATGGATACCTCTGTACATTAGTAGGAGTTCTAATCCTTCTTGATACCTCTGAACATAAGTAGGAGTTATACTCCTTCTTGATACCTCTGTTCATTAGTAGGAGTTCTAATCCTCTTGATACCTCTGAACATAAGTAAGAGTTATACTCCTTCTCGATACCTCTGTACTGTACATTAGAAGAAGTTCTGGATACCTCTGAAAATTAGTAGGAGTTCTAATCCTTCTGGATATACCTCTGTACACTAGTAGGAGTTCTAATCCCTCTGGATGCCTCTGTACATTAGAAGGAGTTCTAATCTTTTAGGATATACCTCTGTACATTAGTAGGAGTTCTAATCCTTCTTGATACCTCTGAACATAAGTACGAGTTATACTCCTTCTTGATACCTCTGTACATTAGTAGAGTTCTAATCCTTCTTGTTACCTCTGAACGTAAGTAGGAGTTATACTCCTTCTCGATACCTCTGTACTGTACATTAGAAGAAGTTCTAATCCTTCTGGATACCTCTGAACATTAGTAGGAGTTCTAATCCTTCTGGATATACCTCTGTACATTAGTAGGAGTTTTAATCCCTCTAGATACCTCTGTACATTAGAAGGAGTTCTAATCTTTTTGGATATACCTCTGTACATTAGTAGGAGTTCTAATCCTTCTTGATACCTCTATACATTAGTAGGAGTTCTAACCCTTCTGGATACCTCTTTACATTAGTAGGAGTTCTAATTCTTCTGGATACCTCTGTATACATTAGTAGGAGTTATAATCCTTCTCAATACCTCTGTACATTAGTAGAAGTTCTAATCCTTCTCAATACATCTGTCATTAGTAGGATTTCTAATCCTTCTTGATACCTCTGTACATTAGTAGAAGTTCTAATCCTTCTTGATACCTCTGTACATTAGTAGGAGTTCTAATCCTTCTAGAACCTGGATACTTCTGTACATTAGTAGGAGTTCTAATCCTTCTGGAACCTGGATACCTCTGTACATTTGAAGGAGTTCTAATCGAAAACATAAAAGATTTCAACCCTTTCAAATTCATTGGTGTTAAAGGGACAGACCGGCTATGTTAGGTAGGTGAACTGAGAATGCAGTGTTGTGGACAAATTCTTTAGGATTCATAACTTTTTAAAAATCTGTAAATCCTGAGTTTGAGCTAAAAGTCGACGTTCAAAATCGTACATTTGGGTGAATACGTTTTCAGAATCGGTTTTTTAAAATTACTAAATCATTTTCCTTGAATTTANAAATAGGGAAATGTGGTGAAAGAGGGGGGGGGGAGGGAGGGAGAAGGGGGGAAAAGTCTAGACAAAAAATAGTTTTCCAATTTAAAATAAAAGAAATAACATTCTCTTTCTTGTATTCCCCGGGTGCAGAAGTGTGACTTTGTCCATTAAACTTTATTTAGATACTTCCAGAGTTTTTCAAACTCAACTTTAGCATTTCAAATCTTATAAACTTATTGTTCTGTACCCTCATATTGTGAAGAATAAATAGATCATGAAATTATTTAGGTTAGGACTGGAAAACAGAAAATCGAGGGATGGGGAGAATAACCGCTCCCCCCCCCGAAAAAAAAACTTAGCTAAATTAGGAAAAAAAGAAAAGAAAACGGAATAAAGTTGATAAAGTTAAAGAAATATTTTAAAATCCGAAATATTAAACCTATCCCTGCTAGTGCTGAATTGACGAAAACCAGGATACTCTGATTCCCATGTTTGATGTCCAAATATGACAAATGATACATCGATGGAAAAAGCTCTTATGCTCTACTTTTAGAACTTGCAAAAAAATTGCAAATTTGCAAAAATTGAGTTCTTTTATTGCAAAATCCAGTTTTATAGTAAAAGGTTAGCAAAAAAAAGTCCAAAAAATTCGGCCTCTGATGTGTCAGAAAATTTTAACAGCCTTATTTGAGTTTTGTAAAAAAAAACTACAGCAGGAATAGGGTAAAGAATAAAATGTAGAAACATCTGTAGATTCGGATATGACGTAGTGATAATAGTAATAATATATTTTGACATTTAATTTTTTGCTATAAAGATGTTTTTTACTATTCTAAAGTGGTTTAAGATTGCAGAATATGAAGAATATATGTTTATTGTTGGACCAAGAATCTAGAATCTACAAGAAACTAAGATTACAGATTCCTGGTTCTTCTACAAAGTAAATCAACCGAGATAAAAGGAAACTGAACTATATACACTATGTACACATACTTGGTAATAAATCTTCCCTTCCCCAGTCATTTGGGGGATATACATTTTCATTCTATACTCAGGGGTTTGGAAGGTAATATCCATGAAAAGTCTGGGGGTCTGAATGATTGTATAGCCATTACCCCCTAGAAAAAGGGAATTTGAGTTAAAATTTAAGTTACAGAACTTATGAAACTTACAAAACTTATGAAACTAATTAAACTTATGGATTTTATGGAATTTACATAATTTATGGAACTCACAGAACTTATGAAACTTACAAAACTTATGAAACTTACAAAACTTATTAAACTAATTATACTTATGGAACTTACAGATCTTTAGGAACACACAGAACTTAATGCACAAACAACACTTATTGAACTTAGACTTATGGAACTCACGTATAAAAACTATCGGAACTTATGAAACTAATTAAACTTATGGAACACACAGATCTCTAGGAACTTACAGAACTTAAACGTAGAGAAATTATTGAGATAATTGAACTTATGGAACTCACAGAACTTAAGGAATTTACGGAACTTATGGAACTAATTGAACTAATTGACCTAATTGAACTTATGGATCCTACAGAACTTATGGAACTNGAAACTAATAAAACTTATGGAACACACAGATCTCTAGGAACTTACAGAACTTAAACGTAGAGAAATTATTGAGATAATTGAACTTATGGAACTCACAGAACTTAAGGAATTTACGGAACTTATGGAACTAATTGAACTAATTGACCTAATTGAACTTATGGATCCTACAGAACTTATGGAACTTATCAAACTTATGAAACTTACAGAACTTAAGGAATTTACAGAACTTATGGAATTAATTGAACTTATGGAACTTACAGAAATTATGGAACTTATTAAACTAATGGAACAATTGAACTAATGGAAATAATTGAACTAATAGAACTTATTAAACTTACGGAACTAATTGAACTAATGGAACTAATTGAACTTATAGAACTCATTGAACTTATGGAACTAATTGAACTTATGTAACTAACAGAACTTAAGGCACTTACAGAACTTATTGAAATAATTGAACTTATCGAGCTAATTGAACTAATGAACCTAATTGAACTTAAGGATCTTACAGAACTTATGGATCTAACAGAACTTATGGAACTTACGGAACTTATGGAACTTTCAGAACTTATGGAACCTACAGAACTTATGGAACCAATTAAACTTGTAGAAATTTTTCAAAACTAGCCGAATATTATGGATGATGCACGAGCAACAAGAAGAAAATGGATATCTAGAAAGCTTTATATGGAAGAGTATTATTACCACTGTAAATTCTCTCTGGCCTGGAATTCCCAGTAAATTGGTTGATGTCTGGATCTTACAGTTTTCTCTTCACAACTTTAATTCATGAAATGGGAGATGTGATCTCGAGAGCCCGAAACTTAAGACAGAGTTAAAAATAGAAACCCAGTATCGGAAACCCGGTTTCATAAACGGGGTCAGTCAGTTTTGTAGATTCAAGGTTTGTGATAAGAAATGTTTTTTCATGTTGTTTCTTTTCTATTTCTCAAACTAAAATCCACGCAAATGTTTAGACCCCAAAAAGTAAACTCGGGAGTTTCGTTCAACAATACTCTCTGAGGTTTCTGACTCAGGGGTTATATCATACTATTGTTAAAGGAGAAGGGGGAGGGGAGGGAGAAATTAGACTGAGGAAAAGCAGTCTAAAATGGTTTGAAGGAAGGAGTGTGCATACTCAGTTCTACTGC